TTTTGCAGATGTCTGTGGATATTTGTTTTTAAGACTGTTCCGGGCAGTACTAATAGATCATACGGTCCATTCCCCACGGCTTCTTCGCTTACGATGAACTTAGATTTTGCGATAAATTATAATTTAGTAAGAGACCTTTCACCGGAAAAAGGCTATAGGGATTTCTGTTTCTTCAATCTTACCAATGGCAGTCAGCCATGTCAAAAGCTTCGGACAAGTAAAAGCGCAAATTGCTCGATCAGCAGTTGGAGGGTGAATTAAGGAGAAGTGGGTGCGATCGCTGAAACAAGTAATCCTTTCGCCTGAAGTTTCTAAATATGGCTCGAACCCCTCATCAGCGACAGCATCAGATACCCATAGCTGCGAGGCATTCGGAGTTGCAACTGGGTATATACCATTAACCAATTAAACAAAATATGATCCGTGCAGGTAAAACCAGTGATTTCTGCTCACCTTCTGACGTGATACGCAAGTGTTTATGAAAATAAATGAAGTGTTATCGGGGCCTTCAACTGAATAATTTGAATCCCTTTGTAAGGTATTCTGTATTCTTACACAACTACTTGCTATGCCCCCTACAACATATTCTTTGTTCTCACAAACAAGCACGTCCTCAATGCCCTATTGTTATGGGTACATCGTAAGAATATTTCTTGCATAACGCCTTCGGCGCACAGATTACTTTCTCTCAGGGATGTTGAGAGAAGTTAAGTAGGAGCTATTGTGAACATAGGATTTGTGCATATAAGTTCATAGCAAACTTCTGAGCCAGCTTAAATGAAAGCCTTTGAATTACGAAACATTTCGAATGTATGTGCAGGTAAACATCTTGGTCTGAATCTAACCTACTTCAGTCATCTTGGAGCCTAATTTTTTGCTTGCCACAAATGACAGCGTATGGCATTTTGACTAAACCAGTGAAATAGTTTGAGAAAAGTATGTACTGTTGGTAGCCAGACTCCACGCATAATTTTCGTAGATAAAGACACTTTCGTTTTCTTTCTTAAGAAGCACAGCCGCGACTTGACTTACCAAAGGATGTTCACGTCAACGACAGGTCAAATATCAGACATGAGGGTTTCCCCCACTGCTCCAGAACTTGAAGTTAGTTTTAGCTAGTGTATGAATTTGTTTAGCGTTAATCGGATTTGCGCCGCACCTACTTTACTCCACTTTTCCCAAGCCCATCCTATTCCAATGGCACGACATGGTCAAGATAATCTGCGACGGGCGTGTGCAGTGATCGACAAAGCAAAACACCTTGGTTACTTGTGGGACTTGATTCGTAGCCCCCAACATGCCAAATTTCAATGGGGGAATAGTGCCTCACAGCAGTGAAGCCCATTATAGAAGCCGAAATACGGAGAAATCACTATAATTCGGCCCACTATAATGCAAGTTATCCAGACGTCGATGGTTTGTGAGCTGTCATTGCAGATTTGAACAATCAGTGTGAACCACTTTTGAAAAACTCAGGGGCCTTGGTGGAATTCGACCCCACACCAGCAGGGGGAAGGATTTAGTGCAGTCAACGGTTTTTCAAACTGAGCTACAAGGCTCCCATCCATGCAAATTGCGCCTGGTTGTAATATAGTGGATTCTAGATTGATTGCTTGGAAAATCCTGCTTGGACAGTCAGTTTCTTATATCAGAATTGGTAGATTTCATACGTATCAGTAGGCTGGGTGGATAAATTGGCCCAGCTGCGATTAATCTCACGAATCCCGGTTGCGACCTCATAGACCAGTCGGCCAGGGTGTTCGCAAGTGGGTAAATTCAATGCGAAATTAACAAATTATAATGAGCGCGGTAGGTCGAAAAGAAGCGTTTGTTTTGATGTCTATAGTTGCTTTGTTCACGATGGTCTTAAATATACCTTCCTTATCTTTCCCTATTATATGCGCGGAAGTGCATAAGAGTATCCTCAATTGTTGATAATGCTTTTAAAAGCAAACAATTACCTGAGTGTGACCGTAATTCTGCACAATAGTCAACCTTCTCACGAGTTACTCCGTTCGCAGTGCATATTAAATTTTAGCTGAGCATCGTTTCAGCAATCTGAATAGACATAAACCAATAAAAGTCAAAAATAAGACAACGCACATTTTGTGGTGTGCAGATAATGCTGAAAAGTTTGTTGAGTGGGAAAGATGTATGTTCTTAAACTTGCTTTATTAGGGTATTTTGCTTTGATAACACTTTTTATACAAGCGTTTATTTTCTTTCCCATGTGGGATGTTCTATGGATGCCTCGCAAAATCTTCTTTTCATAACGTCGCTACGACGAAGTCCTATCGCTCATGTTAGATTCGTGTGGCTATGGCTATTCCGACGTAAATTTCCAACAGCGGTAATAAGCATTCAAATTGCCAATAGTGGAGAATATGCGAGTTCCAGGAAGCAGTTCAGAAGAAGAGGATGCGACCACTGGAACAAGAGTTTTATTTTCCCGACGTTTCGGATTCCGTCGGGAATACTCAATCATAGACCAAACCATTATTTTATAAGAGAGTTCGTTGTTAATCGGATCTACCTTACCATCTTACCACGCATAGCATACCACTAATTTCTGTTGTCATACAGTTGCTTACGCGCAGCTGTGATTACCAATTTTGTATTTTTTTCTTTTCACGATAGCACTAAGTTTGTAAGGAAAGGGCCCCTTGGGCCTTGAATATACAATTTATTATTTATTATTATAGGTAATGGTAGCATAGTCATAGTCATACGCAGACTATGACTATGCTACCATTATCAATGATTAAGGATTCCCGAAGGAATCCGAAACGTCAGGAAAATAAAGATATTGTCCCAGTGGTCACATCCTCTTCTACTGAAGCATTCGGATATTAAATTTATCCAGATCCTTGTGTATGGGTCTCGAAATGCTCTAAAATTGACCATTTTTTAAGTCTTAACACTTTCCTGAAATATAGAATTTTATTGCAACTTAGGTTCAAACAATAAAACTGTTGCATGATAGAAATTAATGAAGCAGGAGCAATGGATATGCTAGGTCAGAAAACATCATGCAAATATTTAATATTTTAAATATTGCCCCAAACGCCGTATTACCAAACGCCTGCTTGGGCATAATTCCCGAAAGTATAACTAAGTACTTTACTCAACCTCCTGTGCTCTGCAGTATTAATTTCAGGCAGATTGTGTTATTATTTATTTTATGATAAGAGACTCAAATGCCTTTCTGTATACTTAAGCTCTTAAAATAATGGCCTTAAAATTGTAGACCCGATAGAAATAATGGAGCATTTTGTGTTTTTTATTATATCAACATAACCTGTGGTTATTGCATGGCATGAGCTTAAATTCCCACATTGTATTACTCAACAAATATCCTAACTCCTGCCTGAGGACAAACATTTTAGGCTTTCACTGGTAACATGCATTCAGATAGCGCAGTACCCTTCCATTATTCAAAAGTAAATTTTTCCAAATATATTTCTGTGGTCCTCTATCTTCCATGCTTAGCAGAATTTATTTAAAGAAGCCAGAGGAAGGTCTGTACGTATGTTTAAAGTGTCAGTACCAGAAGATCAGGTCTGGACATAAAATAACCTGTTGCTTGAGCTTTGTCGACGTAGAGCGGCTCTTGGAATGCGAACAGTATAACCTATTTGTCTAATACCGTCCAAAGCCAAAATTTTGGGGCTATCTTCGGAGTTTTCACGCGTGCCTCTCCGCTTTCCTGAACGAATTTTCAGTCCCTGTGCTTACAGCCTATCTTCTAGACAACAGTCAGGCGTTTATTGAGTGACACATTTCTCTTGATTTCCATCAAAAGATGGCAGCCGGTGGCCTGTGGCCATGCCTACCTTGGCGAATTGCAAGTGTATGCAGCTCATGCTCAATTAACGAACGGAGTGGCTCACTAGAGTACGGGTAGATGCTCCTTCGGCTATCATCTTTTCTTTTACTGTCTTTCCAAACGTATCAACAGCGTAGAACCTAGACCTTTCCTATGTAGACTGAAACTTTGAGTGTTTATTACCCCTGAATGCTTTCCGGACCATGAGGACGTGTTTAGCTTGATCTTCACGCCATGCCAAAGCCGTTAGCAGCGGGACTCAGCAGGTGAGTTACAAACTGGGATATGTAAACTACTTCGACTTGGGTGGGGGGGGGAACACGGTCGTTCGAGCAAGAGCCCTTCTACTGCTCTCGGATTGCTTCCTGAAAAGTGGCACCTTCCTACCCTTTTCATTCATAGTAAAGATGATTGTCTTTCCTATAAAGTGGAGGTAAACGCAGGTCCATGGAACAAACAACCAAACACCGTATTGTTAGTAGTCATAGCAACAATGATGCCCCTCCCAGCATTGACAACGACACCCAACGAGCCGTATATTCGTCACCAACCCTACTTGCAACAATACGTTATCTTCCTAAATCTCGTCCTTCCTGGGTCTCCACTGGCTGTAAGCTGTTATCATAACCTCTAGAGTGTTCTGTGTTGCCTTCTCACGCCCTCCCCCTCTTCTCTTTTGCTCAGTCAACACACTTGTCTTCTGCTCATGCCACTGTTGTTGGTGCTGCTGCTACTGCTGCTGCTGTTGTTGCCACTGCGAATTTCAACATTCTTCTGCAGAAAGCTGCCCTGACCCCCCCC